TCGTGATGATTTAAAATGGGATATCTGCATCCGACCTTAGATTTAGACGATCTATTTTTCCAGTTCTCCTTGATAAAAACATCTTTAGTCATCAATGGACAATAGTACATGCTCGGTTTTTTGCGCCGAACGGATTTCTTAAGCGAAAAAAGTCGTGACACATAAGTCCTTGATGATGCGTTTATAATAGTGAATGGCGCAGAGGGACATTTTACCTGAGGAAAGGACGCTCGCAGAGGGACACATCTATAGATCATCTGAACAATGACAATGTGAAATGTCAGAAAATAAATAGACAATGTAAAATGTCAGAGAATAAATAGACAATAGCGTTTGTTAAATTTATGATAATTTGAGATGTTTTAGGATAGTTTAGTTTGGCATATTATAGAGTGAGTCTAATTTGACTAAAATGTCTCATTTGTTTTTGATAATACAAAAAAATATTATTTATTTAAGAGATTTCGAATATTATGATAAAAAGAAATAATTTTCTCAAAGATAGTTTTTGAGATTTCAAAATTATCATCATTTTTAAAAATAGAATTATATGATTTTTTTTCGTAATATAATTTTTCACATAAAAATATTAAAGTAGAATGTAAAGAAATGGAATATATAAATTAGTATTAACGTAAAGATGTGTATAATTAATCTAAAGAAAATATGTAATGATTAAAAAAAAGAATTGTACAATTTGCAATATGCAATTACATATCTTGTTTGAAAAGCCACTACATATTCTTTATACTAATTGATTCTTATTATTTTGTTTTAAAATATAAAAAAAAGTAATAATAATAATAATAATAAGAGCGTAATCAATGAATGTGTTTCATTTATGTTCCCGCAAATCTTCGATCAGAATTAATTAATTTTTATATTTCTTATGCCGTATATTTATATTTCGCTAATTCTATAGAATAATTCTTAATTCTAACGCATTATGAATAGACACATAATGTTAATTATTTTTATGAATAATGAATGAATGTGCATGTGTGAGCTTCGACGTTTATTTAGGGAGTTTTCTATTTAGGAGACACAAACACAGTGTGAGACACAGGAATATATAATGGTATTTAAAAGGGCTAATGTTGTTTAAAAGGGCTGCTGTATTGTTACAGCACTGAAATTTTTTATCTATTTTAAATAATTGATAGCCATGTATTTGATACTTCTTAATTCTAGCAACGAAACATAGTCATACACTGTGTGATACAGTTGACTTGTAGTTGAAACGGTGCTTAGTCTT